TGCAGGTTGCAGAATTCCAGAGGATGTGCAGGTTGCTAGAATTCCGGAGGATGTACATGTTGCAGAATTCTAGAGGATGTACATGTTGGAGAATTACAAGGATGTGCAGGTTGCAGAATTCCAGAGGATATGCAGGTTGCAGAATTACAAGGATGTGCAGGTTGCAGAATTCCAGAGGATGTGCAGGTTGTAGAATTCCAGAGGATGTGCAGGTTGCAGAATTACAAGGATGTGCAGGTTGCAGAATTCCAGAGGATGTGCAGGTTGCAGAATACCAGAGGGTGTACAAGTTGGTAAGGGTTGTTTTTCAATAAATACGGGTAATAAAACAGTTTACCTCCTTCGTAAACCAAATGCGTCCGTTGTTGTTGTTGTTGTTTTTCCACAGTGAACTTGGTGGAGGAATTGGTTGTATAAAGAAGTTGTAAAGAGGATTCGGAAGTGTCGATGTTCCAAAGGTTGTAAAAATCTGCAACATTGTAATCCACACTTCAGTGCCAGAATTTTGGTGAGTGTAGAGTTGCTTATTGCCTGTGTTCTCCTAGCCTCATCAGGCAGCAAAAGTACAAGAAAATTGAAGAAAGAAGATTGTAAAGTGTAAAAGCAGAAAAATAAAACAAATTTTGAAAAGTGTCAAATCATGCGGAAATCATGAGACCATTTGTCAGAATTGGTGAAAATTGGTTTCCAATACTGATCTAGTCTACTTGTTCAAAGCTTAGGATGTTGATTTGAATATTTATTTGTATGCTCTCGTTCAATCGAATAGTGGGACTTCACTATTATCTTATAGCACATCCACGGCTTAAAATCCGGAGCGCGTTTTTGTGGCAATGGGTCGCGAACCATAAATCATCAAATTCATCTTCAGAGAACATTATGGGTGGTGCTATCCTAACATTAGAAGGAAGTTAGCACACCCTTGGCTCCAAGAAAACATATATTAAAAAAGGGTTGCGAATTCGAATCCCTTCATCGAACATGCTTGTTCTTTGAACCCTGGGGCATTATAATATGTCGTTCAATCCTACTTTTGTTGATAAAGAGTAGTTACAAGAGATGGTAGTGGGTGAAGTTAATTAGCTGCTTTCCCTCTAGTCTATCACTTTAAAATTTAGGGACGGCCAGCTCGAGTAGTATTGTGCGAAATTCAACAAACAAAATCAAATGCTAACGAAAACATCCATTTGTTCCTTAGCTAATCGACTTCCTCGAAATTGTTTTCAAAGGCACACAACATAATAAGCTAGTTGACAGTATATCTACATTTGTTTTCAGTATGTAAAAAGTGATCAGTTAGTTCGCAGTTTACTGACATCAAATTTACAATGTTGAGCATTCGGAAAATGTCTCGCCATCTATCGCAAAATGGGACAATCAAAAATAGGAATCATAAGTTCTTTCTATATTTACGTACAAACGAAAAACCTAATGAAAATTCGCCCATCAGTGGCACAGCGGTATGTCTGCGAACTTATAACGCTAGAATCCGGGTTTCGATACCCGTGATAGATAGTCTATTGTATTGCTTTGTGCTTAAGTTCAAACTAATGAAAATTCTGCTTTATCAGAGTTTAGAACAGTGTTGTTTCTTGCATTGTAACCAACTGACACTTTCAAAGATTTTTTTATTGTTTTAATACCTCAAAAAAGTGAAAAAACAAGAAGAAAACACTGTGTTAATATTCACAGTTAATTGTTTCACAAAACTTAAAAACAGTTTAAATGCCGAAAGCTGGCGAAGCATTAGAATCCAACAGACCGAATATTTGCAGATGGTTTTTTTTCCACGTTCTTCTTAGTTTGTTAATTTCGGATTTCAAACCAGAAGAGAGTAAAAATAGCATTTCAAAAGACATTGCACAAGAGGTCTTTCTTTCAGTACCAAAACTTGTTTGCCAGGTTGCACGATAAAAGACAAACGTTTATCAGGTGTGTTTTTCATTTATTTACAATATATGAATTTCAACTTTACGGATTAACCGCCGAAGCTAGCGAAGCACGAGGATCCAATAAGCCCAATATTTGGGATAAAAATCATTTAAGCTGTAGATGTCTAAAATGGAAAAGTTCAGATGAGTGTGAGATAAAACATATTTAGTGTAAGTGATTTTAATCATAAATATTATAAGTTATTTTTCGACATTATATTTGATTGAATGAATTTTTGTAAACATTCCAAGCATACTGGAAATTAAGTTTGGTGACACAAATGCATTTTTTTTCTACTCTTCGGTTTTTATTAATCAGAATTTATGACATCTAAATGTGAATTAATCAGGCTGATTATGTCTGTAAAGGTATTTTACATGTAAGCAGTAGCCGATCTAGGGTTTTGGAAAGAG